CAACAACAACAACAACAACAATAATAATAATAATAATAAATATTGATAAATTAATTAATCGTCAATTTATTTCTATTACTTCTATTAATTCATAATTTTCATGCACTTTTTTCTTACACAATTTTATTGCTGACTTATATTTCATTTTGAATCTCAACCAGTTAGACTACTGATATGTCTAATAATAATTAAAAAGTAATTCATTATTTAACATTTGTTAAATTTATAATTACTTTTATTAACTAATTTTTTTTTCTGTCATTTTATTTCACTTTATCGATCTTTCAGGTTTTATGATAGTATGCTTTGTATTCTTAGCGCTGATACCAGCGGATGCGGCTAATTTAGGTCAAATAGCATATACAGCATCGATGGCATTTAGCGGTTTAAATAGTGTAGGCATAATTAAAAGTGGACAATTGGTAAAATTTTCGCTTTTGTAAACTTATCCATTTTTAATAGAATAAGCAAAAAAAAGAGAAAAAAATCAAAAATAGAGTATTGTATCGTAAAATTTTTCGCCATCTCATTTTTGCAATATAAAAATGATTATTTAAGATGCAAATTTTATACGATTATATTTTAATTCATCAAATATGATTTTATGATTGAATTAACAATTGATTTAATTGAATACGAAAATATTAATTTTAGGTTGCCCGTCAACATACACATTTTGTTCTTTCAATTTTATCAATTATTAATTGTTTAATAATTCTAATTATTCCATTATTCGTGTCACTTATTGCGCCAAATGGTACTGCTGAACAATGGTAAGATTAATTAATTTTAATTAATCAATTTTATTGAAATACTGAACTTAAATGATCAATCATATATTTTTGATTCAAATATACGTGTCAATAATTTTAAATCATAACAATATGTTGTCCAAATGATAAACAATAAACATTATCAGCGGTTCAAATATTTTGTTTAACTGATTAACTAACTAATACAATTAACTGAGTCATAATCAGTTTGCCAAAACTTCTAACGTCAAACTAATTAGCAATTAAATACTGTCTAATAATGGAATAAATTTATACTCAAAAATTGTCCACAATTAATTGACAAACAAAAAAATAGCAAAAATTTTAATAATTAGTATAATAAATTTTTTCTCCTCATTTCTTCACCTGTTTTAGTAAATTGAAAAATAAAATTGAAAAAGTAAACGAACCTTTTACTTTGTAATATTTTTTTCCATACTGCATAAAAATTAAGGAAAAAACAATACATTTTGTATTGTAATTTTCAAAAAAAAAAAAAATCTTTTTCTTGTAATTTTTTGTGAAAAATTTCAAAAAATAAACAAATTTTATTTTTCAATTTTTAATTTTCTTCTTTTAGGTCAATAATTTTTTATGTGATTGTTGGTTTAATGATTGTTTGTAATAGCTTTTTCTTCGTTGTCGGTAAAGCATCACCAGCACCATGGACTAAAGTAAACAATCATCATCAGGTGTACATAATTAATCAGCCTGAAACGATCAATGCTATAATGAAAGATGGATAAATTATATAAATTGCAAAAATTGATAATGACGATAATATGTATTCAGACATATTTAACAGAAATGAATGAAAGATTATTTGTGTTACATACATATAACAATTTCTATTTATTATTCAACATTCATTCATTTCAAATCATTCAATTCACGTGTACATGTTGACATACATATGAGTGATAAAAACGAATCACATGAAATTGATATGTGAAACAAAAAAAAAAAAAGACATTTTTTTTCCGTTTCCCTCTTTCCACCACAACAAATGCATTTTTAAAATATTTCGTTAAATATTTGGGAAAAAATTTTTATATGTACATGTATGATTTGTTCGTATTATTTAAAAAAAAAAAAAAAAACAAATAACTTACGCAATAATGGTAATTCTAGTTTTGTATGATATTGTTACAAGTAGTGGTGGATCGTAATTATAGTGATAGAAATTATGGATATTACAATGAAAATCGTAGATAGTGTAATAGAAATCATGATAAATGTTGTGGATATTACAATAGAAATCATAGGTATCATAATAAAAATTGCAAGTATCATGATAGAAATTGTAGATATCATAGAAGTTATGGATATCACAATAAAAATCATAGATATTTTAATAGAAATCGAAAATATAATAGAAATCGTATCATGATAGAAGTTGTGGATATTACAAATAGAAATCGTTGATATTAAAATATAAATCGTATGTACTACAATGAAAATTGTATCACAGTAGAAATCATAGGTATCATATGGAAGATCATTCAAATATTTACATATTAAAATTTAAACTTAATCAAATGTGAATTCTTCTATCATGGATTTTTTTTTTCACGAATGATTAAATAATCAGGAACTTTTTATTTGATAACGAACACTTACTATTATTTTTTATTTGCAATAAATATAATCAAAATATTTTACTTACATTACTAAAAATGCTAAAATAGTTGCATTAACTAAATCGTACTTATTTTTTGTAATTATTGGTTTACAAAAATTGATAATTACAAAATTGCATCCGATAAAATAGTAGCAATAATTAATTATTGAAGGTATTTGGTTGGATTTTATTGTATAAAAATTGATCACGACAAAAATAACGCAAAAAGTAATTGAATTGCTTTGTTTAATGCTTACAATAATAAATTGTTAATGCTTAAATAATATGCAAAATTAGACAATAAAAAATTTTAGTTGATAACAATGAATAAAAGAAAATATACATATGTACAATACAAAGGATTTCAAAAGGTAAGATAAACAATATTTCATAACAAATCAATAAAAAAATAAAAAATAAAACAGAAATAAAGTGTAAATAAAAGTTGAACAAAATTAGCGCTAACTTATTTATCATATATTTCAAATATTTATATAACAGATAGCAGCTAAAATTGATTATAATCAGATAAGAGAGGAAATATTGAATATCAAAATTTATAAATTACTTAAATATACAAAAATCTGCATCTATCCGTCTTATGCAAATCTTATGTAATTATAATTGTGTTGTAATCAGTTTCTTTCTCTCTCTCTCCTGTTTTCTATTATTTGTAAAAGAAAGAAAGAAAAAGAAAGGCGATTTTCAAGCAAAAAATGAAAGATCGGTCGTACACTTCTAAAAATTAATTCGCGAATTAATCACAATTCAAAAAATAAAATTTTGTCGATATAATAATATTAATGTTTCCAGCAATCGCTTTACTAACTCTTCGTATGTTTGAAGTAATTTTAACCAGTTTGATTTAACTTTCCTAAATATGAAATTTGCAGATGCTTGAAGCACTGCTTGAAGCAATGATTTCTATTTATACTCAGTTGTCGAATTTTTCTTTATTATGACTTATTTTATGTTTTTCTTTTTCTATTAAATGTCATTATATACTTTTTATTCTTTTTTAAGATTTATACATTGTAAAAAATTTGCATATTGTCAAAAACAAGTTTGTATATGATATTTGGTCTATCCACAAATCACACATTTTAGTTAAAAAGACCTTTCTAGATTTCTCAATTTTTGATTTTAAACCCCACAAATAGACTGCTCATTTCCCATTTGGAATGCGAAGCATGTGATCGATAAGTTTTAATGGATGAAATTTTACTTACATAAGAAAGCAAGTAGTAATCGGAATGAATGTAATTTGGGCAACATAAAAGTTCAGAGTTCGAAATAATAGTGCAACATGGTCAAAAGTATCCGAACAGCCATCTTTCAGTAGCATAAATTGCACTGATTGAAGAAATTTCACAAACATAGGTGCATAATAAATTCTTTGTGATAGTCAAATTTTATTTTTCATATCACATTGGGTTAACTGTTTATAAAATATCGATGTATATCATTTATCAGCTGATAAAACTAATTGATTTTTTCAGCTTTAATTTCTTGTCTTAAGTAATTCAAAAAAATTCACAACATGCACACTTATGCATAAGTGCTATATTAGTTTCATTTTCGAATTCAAATTTAACTCAAAGTTCAGGATCCAAAAAAAAAA